CATACATACATACATACATACATACATACATACATACATACATACATACATACATACATACATACATACATACATACATACATACATACATACATACATACATACATACATACATACATACATACATACATACATACATACATACATACATACATACATACATACATACATACATACATACATACATACATACATACATACATACATACATACATACATACATACATACATACATACATACATACATACATACATACATACATACATACATACATACATACAAACAAACATACATACATACATACATACATACATACATACATACATACATACATACATACATACATACATACATACATACATATACGTTTTAATACATAAATACTGTGGAGAGTTAGGACCACGACGGCACCGGGGGCGTCTGACCAGGGATCACGATCGACTGATCAAAGCGCGCGTCAGATCTCGCAGCAGAGTTACCGGCCATCGGACATATACATACATCACACACACACACAGACACACACACACACACATACAGACACACACACACACAGACACAGACACAGACACAGACACACACACAGACACAGACACACACAGACACAGACACACACAGACACAGACACACACAGCCACACACACACACACATACACACACACACACACACACACACACATACATACATACATACATACATACATACATACATACATATAAACGTACATACATACACATACATACACATATACATACACATACATACATACACAGATACATACATACATACAAATATAGAAAACAAAAACATGCATACACACATAAAGGTATCTACAATTTAATGTTTAGCAACGGAGATAGTTCAAGATGTTATTATGGACAGGAAAGATATAATAATCTCCGACTTTATTGTTTGCCATAGTTAAGAAATTTTAATGGTGATCATACATTCATTCTCGTGTAGAGTTTAGCCTAGACTCTTTACAGCGGGGCAATCGTATCAGCTGGGCAATCTCATCATGTTGTTGATGTTCTAATGTTACCCTAACCCTAACGTTACCATTACTGCATGACACTCACAGCAACAATGGCATAGCTTCAATACAATTAACATTTCTAGCACCATATCTTTATAACACTTATGGTGCCAAGGCTTTATCAGCACTTACAAGAAAAAAAAGCCTTAATATTACAGTAAAACTGTTAAATAAACACAACATCATCTAAAAGTACAGCAACAGGGCTATATTTAAACTTACAGTATCGGGTATTTATAACATTTTCTGTACCACGGCTAGTTTAACCCCTGCAGTTCAAGTCTATATGAACCCCCTCACAGTATAAGGCTCTATTAAGCTCTACAGTGTAAGGCTAGTTGGAGCCTTACATTTAGAGGCTATACTAACCAATACAGAACAAGTCAATATTAACACCTACAGCCCAGAGCATTATTAACCCCTCAAATTCCAAGCCCACGTTAACCCTACAGCACAAGGCTATATTAACCCCTATAGTACTATTCAATACTAGTCCCTAAAGTCTATATTAACCCCTACACCTTATAATGGATAATTTATTTTAAAACGGGTATGTTAATATTTTTACACCCCTTTTTATTTAGCTTAAACGCGTCAAATCATAATTTAAACACTCAGTTTTAAACACATCATTAAAAAAAAAAAAAACCAATTAAGTCGTCCTACACAGTTCTTTCAAACGCTTTTAAAAGAACATCACATATCTTTTTTATACACCCCAAGCTCTTTATCTGAACACCACAGATTTCCTTTTGAATTTTTACCCCCCTTTTTATTTAGCTTAAACGCGTCAAATCATAATTTAAACACTCAGTTTTAAACACATCATTAAAAAAAAAAAAACCAATTAAGTCGTCCTACACAGTTCTTTCAAACGCTTTTAAAAGAACATCACATATCTTTTTTATACACCCCAAGCTCTTTATCTGAACACCACAGATTTCCTTTTGACATCTTGCATAAAAACCCCCACGTCTCAGTTTTAGCACCCAATATCCCGCTCTTCAAACCCTAAACTATTGCTTCACCGCTTAACTTTGATGCTTGTCTTCAATGTCTCAGCTCGTATCACCATCAAACAATCCCTTCGCCGGATCGATACTAACTCGAGATATCGATTACTCAACAAAACATAATTTTCATGCAGCAAACGTCAAAAAGTGTTACAGAGCTCCTCATATCGCGCAGCGCTCTTACTCAAACACAATTTTGTAACCGGATTGCTACCTCATCACGATTCGAATGAGTCGCTAGAATTATCAACTGAACAGAGTCAACACATTCGCAATCTTAATCTTAAACGTTGGACACGTTGTTGCTTGTATTTTGTTTCTGTTTATGCTTGTGTATAGTACTGTGAATGCGGGTTTTTCATTTTTCCCTAACATCCCACGCATACTGTTAGACCAGCATATCTAGTCTTCTCCGCTGGCCGTCCAGAGCCCATTGAATTCGTGACCACCTGCCTTACCCCACTTGCTGGATTAACTACCTTTACTGATATCTTTGGATCAACTACTTTGACCGACAAATTTGGAGTACCGACTTTTACTGAACGCTCTGGATTAACTACTTTTACCTACAGCTTCGAATTTACTACTTTTACTGACAGCTTTTGATTAACTACTCATAAAGACAGCTTTGGATCAACTACTTTTAAAGAAAGCTTTGGATTAACTACTTTTAAAGACAGCTTTGGATTAATTACTTTTTACTGACATCTTTGGATTAACTGATTTTTAAGGACTGCTCTATTTACTGATTACGAAGTCTGATTTTTAAAATGATTTTTCACCGTTTCACGTACACCCAAGCTGCGCACCACAGTCCATCACACGTGTTACCCAGTGGGCTAATAAAAACAACAAAACCCCTTGAAAACATTTAGTGACTTCCTTAGTCGCGTGTTCAAACATCTGTAGTCACTTGATGTAAGAGTTGCACTTTCGGATCTGATAGAAAAAATATTTCACACGGATGTTGATCTTCAACGACTTTGTTGAATCTTATCTAGAACTTATTCGTTGGATCTTATCTGGAACTTATTCGTTGGATCTTATCTAGAACTTATTCATTGGATCTATCTAGAACTTATTCGTTGGATCTTATCTAGAACTTTTTCGTTGGATCTTATCTAGAACTTATTCGTTGGATCTTATCTAGGACTTATTCATTGGATCTATCTAGAACTTATTCGTTGGATCTTATCCAGAACTTTTTCGTTGGATCTTATCTAGAACTTATTCGTTGGATCTTATCTAGAACTTATTCGTTGGATCTTATCTAGAGCTTATTAATTGGATCTATCTAGAACTTATTCGTTGGATCTTATCTAGAATTTATTCATTGGATCTATTCTTGAGCTTATTCAATGGATTTTCATCAAAAAAAAAGTATTTATTGGATTGTATCTAATACTTATCCATTGTATCTTATCTATATCTTATTCATGGAATCTTATCTAGAACTTATTCATGGGATCTTATCTAGAACTTATTCATGGAATCTTATCTAGAACTTATTCATGGAATCTTATCTAGAACTTATTCATGGGATCTTATCTAGAGCTTATTAATTGGACCTTATGTAGAACTTATTCATTGGATCTTATCAAGAACTTTTTTATTGGACCTTATCAAGAACTTATTCATTATTCATGGGATATTCCCTAAAACCTATTCATTGGACATTGTCTAGAATTTATTAACTGGAAAAAAATCTAGAATTAATAATTGGATCTTATCTCAAACTTATTCTTTGGATTTGGATTTTATCTAAAAGTTAAGCATTTGATCTTATCTAGAACTTATCCATTGGATTATAACTAGAATTTATTCATTGGATTTTATTTAAAACGTATTAATTGGATAATTTAAAAACTTATTCATTTTATCTTATCTAGACCTTATCCATTTGATCTTATCTACAACTTATTCGTTAGATCTGACCTAGAACATCGTCATTGGGTCTTATCTAGAACTTATTCTTCCATCTTATGTTGCACTTATTCATTGGATTTTTATCTAGAACCTATTGATGAGTACTTAATGATAAGTAGAATGTGATCTAGAGGTTGTTCATTTGATCTAATGAAGAATGTCGACGCTGAAGCTGAACGTGGACTGACACAAAGGAAATTCTTATGAACGCGGATTTAAGACTTTGAGTTTATATATAATTATTATTTGTAGGTGCCACATAAAGCAATTATTAAAAAATATATATACAAAAATTGTATTAAAATGTAAGTATATTTTTATTTTTGGTAACAATTAACACCTCCCCACAGTTATTCTTCATTCAATTTTTTGTTAATAAAAAAGTTTTATCCCCACTCTATAGTCGCACTAATGTAATTTATTGTAATTAAAAAAAACTACAACTATTACATATTCACAATTTCAGTGCAAATATTCTTGAAACTGTAGCAAAGCTAATTATGTAACTTTATAAGTTTCAAATTAAAAATCAATTAATTAAAAAAAAAAAAAAAAAAAAATATATATATATATA